AGAAAGGTCATTCCTTCCTCGTAACTTTGAAATGATCATTTTTCGAAAAAATTATATATATTTTAAGAGCTTGTTTGTCTCCATTTACGGAGGAAATTAAAGAGTTTTGAATTGTATTTTTCAAAGAATGTGTGGTTAAAATTTAAAATTTTTTTATTGGTTTGTGTACAATATCTTATTGTGTGAATGTGTGGTAGAAAATATTACGTTAACAAATAATTTAATTTGTTAAAAGATGACAAATGGAGACTAAATTAAACCCTTATTTGAGCCTTATTCTTTTAGAAAAATACATTTTTCAACAGTATTTTGACATCATTTCAATCACACATTTTTCAATAAAATAATATTACACGCAAATTCAAAACTTTTTTTTATTTTTTAAACATACATTTCTCATCAATACATTATTCAAAAATTCATTCTTTCCAAAAAATGGGTTCAAACAAAGATTAAGGCCATGTTCTCTTTACTGTTTTCGGGTCGTTTTCTGTTTTCGATTTTTCAAAACGGTGAAAACGTATTCTCTTTCCCGTTTTTGAAAACGAATTTTCGAAAACGAAAAAAAATTTGTGAAGAAAACACAAAACGACTTTTTTGTCGTTTTGGGCGTTTTCAGTGTAAAACTTGAAAAAATTGAAAACGCGGGAAACAACTTTTTTTTTTTTTTTTTTTTTTTTTTTTTAGGGGGGGGTGGGGGTTTTTTTAAATTTTAAAATTTTTTTAGGTGGTGTTGTGGTGATTCTCAAAATTAAAAAAAAAAATCATTTTTTTTTGTTTTGAGAAACTAACAAAAAGAACGCATTTTCAATAATTTCAAAACAAACACTCAAAACACAAAACTCAAAATGAATTCAAAACTCAAAACACAAAATTGAAACACAAAGAGAACACCCCCTAAGTTACTTAACAAACAACTATTATAACATTACTTTTTATATATTTTTCAGTCTTGATTTGACATAAGTCTACAAGGATAATAAAAAAACATGCTTAGCATTCAGCTATGTGCCGGCCACTGCCTTAAGATATACAGAAAAAGTTGGCAGCTTATCCAAAATAATCTGAGATTTCGATGAAAATATTCTATGTTGGGCCATTAAACCAAAGACAAACGTTACAATCTTACACCTAAATAACTCTAGGACTAACCGACTTATTAATAGGGACAAGAATTCCATCCTTAACTATTCGCATCTTAAATTCATTATATACCTTTTTTCCTATGAGAATTTAGTTTAAAATAGTAGTTTTAACTGTAAAGGGTATAGTTATTGTAAATTAAACTCGTGTTAATTAAAATTTATTATTTCACTTTAAAATGTCAACTTTTTAAAGAGGAAAAATCCAAACTCTTATATGTTAAATCGATGTAGATTAACCTTAACCTGCCCTACAAAATGATGAGTGGCTTGAGAAGGTCAATCTTAAAATTCGATTACTCGTTTTGAATTTAGACACGTCGAAAGAAAATAACTATACAAAATGATGAGTGGCTTGAGAAGGTCAATCTTAAAATTCGATTACTCGTTTTGAATTTAGACACGTCGAAAGAAAATAACTATATTGGTGCATACTACCATCCTGAATCAACGATATTAACAATTTTGCTGCCTCGAAGATAAAATTAATACATAAAAATAAATTTAATCATTACTAAAAATTTAAATATTTATATGTAATTGTTGAAGATGATACCAAACAATGAGGAAAAAACCATATGTACAAAAAAATACACTATAGAAGTGTTCCAGATACTGCATTGACAGCTTTTGATTGTGTGTGTGTGTGTGTATATATATATATATTTTGCCATGAACAAATGAAAAATCGTCAAGTGTATATCTATACAAATTTTGTGAACTAAGTACACCCACCATTGTTCAGAAAATAAACATAGTCTAAGTTTAGGTCTCATTTGCTACTCACTTAAAACAAATATGCGTATAAAATAATTAATTTATTCCTTTTTAACATAGATTCGTTTTCCTCTCATTTTTACGTTGAATCCAAGAATAACAAGGTGTATTTTTCAGTACCAAAAAAAGCAAAAAAAAAAAAAAGAAAAAGAAAATTCATACCTTTGGCTAAATCTTCTTCCTAAGCATTCTATGCACTTTCTACCTTCTGCCATCTCTCCCATGCCAATGTTCACACATTGCCTGCAATAAACTCTTCCACAGACCTACAAAAACATGTTTTTATTATTTTGAATAATTTCATTTTAATTAAAATCCATTATACTAACAAACAAACGAATTTCACGGTGTATTTTAAAAATAAAATGTAGCATAATTACCAGACAACGATGTCGGAAAATATAGATATAAGTTGAACAAACAGTGCAGATTTTGGAGTGAGGAATCCCAGGTCTTCTTCTTCCACCTCTTTCATGATAAGGGTTCAGAGAAGACACACTATAGCCACTCACTTGACTCACATCATCGTAAAACACACTTCTCTCTCCTGCATGTCTAAGAGGAGTTTCTCCATGAGAATATAAGTCACGACCTCGGCCCTCGTCTGGACGATGATGGCCGTGGCTGGGCGCATGGACGCGATCATCACGGACAACGACATGGTGGGCTGAACGATGATGATTTTGTTGCATGGATGAAGCTTCGAGGGCTCTGTTGAAATCCAGGCTAGGAATTTTGGTTAAAGAAGGTGAATTTGCTGGTATAGCATTAGTTTTCGGGATATTACGGGACTCGGAAGTGGAATCCATTGGGTGGGAACTTTTCTTTTCTGAATGGAGTTGCCGAACTTCAGCAAGATCTTGAAAAGTTAGATTCACAGAGTCATCAGGGACTCCTAAATACAATTCTTCAAGTTCTTTTTTTGCCTTTGCTAGTGTTGATCTGTCTCCCATTTTTCTTTACTGAAAATCCAGAACAAAATTCAGGGAGTTGGGCTATGGAGGAGTAGTGGAAATTAGGAGTCAATTGGGATGGATTATGTAATGGAGGAGGTGGAAATATAGCAAAGAGACAAATGCATGTTAGGCCGGTTTTTACGCGTTATGAAATTGTGAAACTTAGGCTTGGTTAAATTAATACCTTAACTTCCTTTCTTTGCAGGCCCAATCTTTAGATTGGTTGGTACTGGAAAGTTTTCATTAGTTTGCCAACTCTTAAGGACTAGTTAGTGTTTATTTGTTAAAATTTTTATCGACTTTTTAACAGGTCAAACATCAATTTTAATCATAAATTTAATAGGACCTTTAACATTTATCAACTTTTCAATCACTAATTTTATCAATTTTTATCAAAATTTGCTAAAACTTTTTTTAAATATTTTGTCAAAAAACCCTTTAATTACGCTCACACATGTTTGACTATTGCTTATTATTTATGTGTGATGTCACTTATATATATATATATAATGTAAGATACAAATCAAGGGTAAGAACACTTCAAAAAAGCTTTCTTAGAAATTACGATTTTTATAACTTATTCATAATGGTTAAGTTTGTAGTCATCATGGAAGAAATTTTAGATTCACAAGATTCTTTATGAAATATTATGAAAATAAAGAAATAAAGAATTAGAACAAAAAGAAAAATACAAGGATTTACATGTGTGGGTGCCCATATGAGTTGACCCTACCCAATTAGCGTGTATATTATAGGAAGAAGTTAGTTGATTTGAACTCATACCCACAACTATGTGCATAGAGACCAATGTCTTGTGATGAATATGCACTGAATATAATTCGAAAAATCATGAATAAAATAGTGCAAATTCCATGAAATTCATTATTTCTTATACCACCATCATAAAACTTGAGTGTTCGGATTGTACATACTCCCTTCAATTATGATCATTCCCCCGTTCCCACTTACATATATAAGATATTTTGAGTGAAACCTCTCTTGGTAGCAAGGTCTGAAAATAGAAGAAAAGACGTGATTTCACTATTTTTTTGACCAGGCACATACTTTATCACAGCAATATTTTTTATTGAAGTGATAATTCTGAAAAGACAACGTAGTAACCAAATTATTAGTGCTTAAGTTGGTGATTTTATATGTAGAGTGTATCTACTTGCAAAAAAATTTGGTTTCTTTCTTTCTTTCTTTTTTTTTTTTTGGAAGTTTTAAGTATTACTTGACTAGTTTTTAGCATAATATATAACATGGAATGCTCTATTTAAAAATAAAATAAAATAAAATGTTACACTACAATGTAGAAAGCAATTTATTATTAGAAATTTGTCACGCTGAATTTCCCTAAGATATGAGCCCTATAAAAACGACAAAGACGGCCGGGACATTAGCACTTGTCGTGAATCTTTTTGTCTACCTTGGAGGGGAAAATCCCATCAAATCTATACATGCAAACAAGATGTCGAAGTCACCTAATTAAATCCAGTTTAGTTATCTCTAGCAGAAATGTATAGCTATGAGAATTCTTATTGTTCTTATCGTGGCATTGTGAAGTTGAAACAAACCTCTTGTTATAATCTTAGAAACATCTGTTTAATCTAATTGTTTTGTTTTTACTTCTCGGTGTCTTTCCATGTTCGATTTTTGCTTGGCTTTCTCGATCATGGATTTGTTAATTATAGATGCCATTTTCTCATGAAACACAACGTTATTAGGAAAAATCACAGTAACGTGTTTAGGGAAAAAAAAAAGTCTCAAACGTGCTACAAATAACCTCCATATGCTAAAAAGAAAATTGTAGTCACAACTTGAACCAGTTATAAATAAAAACAAAGAAAGGACAATTTTTCTACGAAGTTTACCTCTAACTAATAATAATAATAATCTATATATTGCAAAAACATACTATATCATGGAAAAGGTTTAAAAATAAATTAAAATATTTATGTAAACCACCCCGAACATGCTCTAAATTTTGTCCTCCTATCGCTTCACGTCTCCAGATAAATCAGGCTCGACGATTCTAGGAGACTCTTTGAAGCAACAGTAGAATATATACATTCTCTTATCTCTATACTGGGGATCAATATAGATAGAACTGCAGATAAATATAGGTGGAAGAACATAACCAACTCCAATCCATTGTTTCCACTTTGAAGGTCCATAGTACAAGCTATAGGACTGTATCATAACAGGCAAAAAGATAACTGATTTTACAAAAGGATGCATCTATAACTTAAATGACATAAAACTGTAGTCTATCAGGTAAAATAGTACCGAAAAATTATACAACTCCAGAAGGGTCTCTCAAATTACCCGTCTTCACCCTTATTCTGCGCTTCATTTTTACATGCATTGTCCACTTCACCATATCCATCGCTCTCATCAGCAGATTGCGGAAGCAAACCGGGCCCAACTCCATTTGGCCCAATATACATATCCAACGGAAGGCTAGCAGCATTCATCAGCGTCGTCAAGCTCATACCAGCAGCCTCTTCGAGCATGTCATCCTCATGATGAGGATCAGAATTCAAGTCAAGTTGTCCCTTGTTGGCCTCGGCCAACTCCAATTGATTTCCACTCGGACCAGCTGCATTTTCTGTCTGAATCATATGCAGTAATGCATGTCCAGCAATTTCTTCGTTTTCCAGTCCAACATTTGCGGGACCCTTATCCTTTGCTTGGGCAAGAAGCTCGGCTTCCCGTTCTGATTGTTTCTTTTTCTTACGCATCATGAGTGTCTTGAAGCGACGTCTAACCGTCAAGCAAACATTGCATTTGCATGTGGGCTGATGCTTACCTTTCCCACTTGGAGGTTGAATGCAGACAATGCATGAGCAGCCCGGGCGATGCCGAGGATGTCTTGTAGTGATTCCAACCGAAGATTCTCCCAACTCATCGATGTTGTCTCCCAAAACGGCAGCAGTTGCCAAGGCATCTAAGCCAGAAGGCTCACCTTCTTTGGATGCTTTGTTATCTGCAATTCTTCACCTCTTAGAATCTTGAAAACGCGAAAAATTTTATGAATATTGATTGGTTGGAAAAGTAGATCAAAATCTGAAAGTGATTGAAGGGACCAGAGAAGGCATAATAAAACAGAAGCAAGTTGTGAATACATCGGGTTCTCATTGTAGCATTAACATGGAAGCCATTAAATTATCTACAGTCGTTCACATGTTCTAACCCACGTCTATAATAAATGTAATATTTACATCCATTCCTTGATCAAATAGATAAAGAACTCCTACTCAATCCATAATAAACTAATACAGCGTGTTTGGTAGCCAACATTGACTGACACTGGATAGCATCAAGGAAGAAAAGCTAAACTTTTTTTCACAAAATAATCTAGTCAATCTAGAATTGTGTACCAAGCATGCACTAATGGGATAAGAATATAATAGAAGATTCTATAAGAAAATATGTACTAACCTACAGTGGAAATACCCAAGAAAGAAGTAGGTCGTCTTATACATTTGAACAGATCCAGAAATGAGTAAAGGTTCCACGCACAGCATGTGTGATTAGGTTGCAGCAGCCTATTCCACATACTTAAAAACAGAGGACGATGTGGAATACAAGGCCAATGTGACTTGAATAACACAAATTCAAGCATCTTATACTAATTGACCAGTAGTCGCTTCGTCATATTGAATGAGCTAGAGTTCCTAAACTATCTACCAACCCATACAAGATTATGATAAATTCATGTGAAGTGTAGGAAGCATGACATGAACAAAGATCCTGGGTTCGAATCTTGTGAACGCGATAGAAATCTATGAGGGTAAAATAGGCTCAAGTTCTCCCAAAGCAGGCAGTATGTAAGTTAACGGCTTGAGCATAAAGGCTGGGTCGTTACAAAAACACATTAAGCCATAATCTCAATTACAATAGCAGTATTAAGCCAAAAAAATAAAAAGAAAGAAAGAAAGAAAAAAAAGGGGAGAGTGAAGCACACACAAGCTGACATACAGATTTACAATAATTCATGCTTAATTTAAGAGCAACCTCCTTGAAGCTGTAAGTTTTCACTATGAAGAAGATTACAATAATGATCTCACACCTCTCGATCTGTGTAGAAAAACATGCCCCTAAAAAGATCATTTATACACGTAGAAATAACAGTGATCTTGTACACATATGGAATACTCAATATAACCCTGAAACCAAAATACCTAATTAGGTCAATCCGCAACCAAGGGAACAGTTGTATAGTATCATCAAGATCCATACAATCCAAAAATAAAATAAAACGATAACAGTTTTGTGCTAGCTCCCTCATTGTATCTTAGGCAAGTAATTGGGTATGTTAAACAACTTTCTCCTTAAACAAAAACATTTCATTTAGCAGGACATTATTGCATGCACATTCACGATGACAAGGATTCAAAACATCTGATCTCTCATCATCTTCAAACCCAACAAACATTCTGGAAAAGCTAAGTTAATCCCTTTGTTTGGTAGGAAGAATTGGTTAGCACTCGATCATACTAAGAAAAAAGGCAAAAATTTTGCTAACTATATTGTACATTCCTACCTAGTATTACGTAACAAACATGCACTTAGTGTCCATGCGTTATTCTTAATGTGTGTGTTCATGCATGTGCAATGTGTGTACGTGTGAGAGAGGAGAAGTTTGAATAAAGGAATCAGTACCCTGGCTCAAACCCTTGTTAACTGTAAAGAAAGCATCCAGATCCCTTGGATTTATATCCGCTGGAGCAGCACACGAACTCCTGAAAGCAAATGTTATACTAGCATAAGTTAACTTCGGCTCTTTTTCTATTTTCCTTTGGACAGGAACTGAGTGAGGTGGTCAGGGTGTAGATAAGTTTACACGTTTAATTTATCGTGAGTTTCTTTCTTTGAACAAGTTGTGCATAAGGTAGTGGACAAGTTGTGCATAAGGTAGTGGACAATTGACCTATATTTCTAGCTCAATTATTTTGACGCTTCACCAGTTATATTGCTAGAAAAAATTTGCAGCTATTTCATTAAAAACTTAGCATTATGTAATAAAATCTTCATTTAATAAAATGTTTACGCCAAGAATAAATTTTTAAGTGGACCTGTTTGAGTCCCATGTATTCTCCGAACATGTCCACTTTGCAGAAAGAAGAGCATGCAAAGGTAATCTTCGCCATTTTGTGCATCTGTCACATTGAGCCAATTGTTCCTGCTCCCTGAAAAGAGTGAATGCTTTCAGATCTATATGCCATATTACAATCTATCATATAGTTGGTTATATGGTGCATTGTACCATCATAAAACAACATTTGAACTAGTTCATTGTCCAACACAAACCTCATTTTTGACATCAAAGAAAACTTAAGAGGCAATTGCATGTCTTCTCTTCATCTTTTCACATCACATGCATATATGGAATAGAAAATAAAAAATGGACAATTAGTTACTTCATCAATCAGATCACATTGATCCTTACCCGGAAATCCGAGATGTAAAAAATGTCCTCTTTCCGAAAATTGGTGGTTCCTAAATAACAAGAATAGAGTAAACACTTAAAGCACCTTAAAAATTGTCTTAAGAGTTCGATATTAAGATCTCTGCATACCCAAAGAATAGCGTTAAACAGATTTTAAAGAAATATAAACAACAACCAGATATCAAAGAAGAAAAGAAAAGAATTATAAATGAAACTTTATTTACCTCAAATTCTTCAAATGCATGATCCTCAATCATGACAATGGTAGGTTCGGAAGATGGGGATGGACGGAACAATCCCTGTGCTTCTTCCCAGGTGACTTTAAGCTCCATAGCATCATCACTATGCATGAGAAGCCTCTTATTTTTTATGTTTCTCATCTTCTTCTTCTCTAAAATCGGAGTAGGATGCTTCATAGAATAATCACTTGTTCTGCCTCCATTCTAACAAGTTTTGGAAAATCAAGGCATCTCAATTAGCATTAAATGTTAAAAAGCTAAAAGCACTAAAACCCAAATGGTAGCAAGGGAGCAACTTACTGGAAGCAGGTTATCGGCATGACCAGAAACTGACATTTCCCTGGGAGAACCACCATGGGGAATGGCTGGCGTTTGGGAATCCTACTTGTTAGCATTTGAAATATGCAAAAGTTATTTAACACAACTAAGAAAATGGAAAATGAAAAAACGGAAACAACTAACAAACTAATGACCGAGATAACTACCTGCATATCAGAAGTGGTGGTAGCTTTCCGAGAACCTATGACAAGCTGACCCCCAGGATCTCTCCGGCTAAATGTGACTACCAAAAAACAAATATATGCATGTTAAGAAGGGCATTAGTTTCGATCAAATGGCTACAAAACATACAAAATGAGAGACTTAGCAGATTATCTAGAATACTTACAAGCACATATAAGGATCAACCCAAATGCTCAAAATTAAAATATTCCAACCATACATATCCAGGACAGTACAACGAGAAAAGAAAAATAATTGTTTATATCAAAATATGAATATGATGTAATTCTGTCTCAAACAACCACTACTTGTGACCCAGAAGTCAAGGAAAAAAGGGGAGAAATGTTATAGTACAAGGAAGGTTTGCTACAGATAAAAAAATTATCATTGACCTCAATCAGAAGAGAGAAAATCTTATAATAAAGTCTGTGGGTTTGTAGTGAGGAAAATCACCATAAGCAGCAGTTATGAAACCACAAAAACCAAACAAAGAAGAAAACAAGCAGTAGTTTCAGGTTCGGGATTATAAAAGCCACAGTTCATTACATCTCCAAAATGTCCTGAGTTAATACAGGATACCTGTGTCACCAGCTTGTACTTGCAAACTTTGGATGCAAGGGGTTACTCCCTCCAAAACATACATTCGGCTGTTATTATTGGGCCAAAATCGGAATTGAAATGTCCACTCGTTCCCCTTTATGTCCTGAATCCTAATTGGTATACCTTCTGACTGATTAATAGGAGGAAAGTACGCCTGCAAAACATGTTAGCTTAAAACATAAAATAAGAGAGAAGCAAAAATAAAAAGTGGGTATCTTGCCAAGTTTAAAACGACATGCTTGGAAAGGACATTTTTGAAGCAAAAATGAAAAACTCACTTCAGCACATGCTTTGGGCAGAACCAAACGACCAATTCTTCCAGCGTCACTAGCGCTCAGAACCTTTTCAAACAATGGTATGATAGTAGATTTCAAACTAGAATATCACAGTTAAGGCAAATAGGAGTTATAAAATAACAAAATCTACTAGTCAATATCAAATTGATAACATTTATAATGTAACCAAAGAAGAGCATGGCGATAATGGAGAAGAAATTAGTATGGATACTCTCCAGACAATTGCTGCAACTCTTGCTCTGTAATCCTCGGCCAGTATCGAGGAAGCAACTGACTCCGGCCCCGTCCTTCGGCAGGAGGCCTTGCTACGCGTGCAGTTCCTTTGTTTTGTTCAGAACCTGATACAGGGGGTTTTGGCAAAATATTTCGTGACCTCTGCCCCTGCTCAGACGAGCCTTTGCTCTGTTCGCTTCCTTCGGTGATTCCAGCAGGAAAAGGCAAAACAAAGTTGTTACTACCTATAGGTGAACTCAAAGGGATGTTTGGATGTGGTTGTGCAAGAGATTCATGAGCATCCTTAAGCCCTTGCTTCGGCCTGCTGTTGTCTGTTTTGATGAAGGAAGAGGACTCAGGTGATCGTTTGTTGCGATTCAAAAAGTGTCTGTTCCTTTCCACGCTCTCTCGTTTCTGAGACTGAAAGGGTCGTTCGGGCTCATTGGCCCCTATGGTCTTCGTCAACTGCAGTAGCCTCTCCATACTAAATTTTTCATCATTAATTCTATTCTCAACAGCCGTAGGATGATCATATCCAATACCATTTGTGACAAAGGTGCCATTTGGAATGGCATCAAGAGGGATCTACAGGAAAAAATTTGGAAAGTTTTAAGAACCAAATGTGCTAGAAGTAAAGAATACCTACTTGCTTAATATAATATATAACCTCCAAGCTAACATACATAACGAGCCAGTAATTTGCAAAATAGTCAAAACATAAGCTGTTCAAGATTCTCATCACAATACAGACCATTTGGCAATCTCAGATAACCAAAATACCTGTGTTGATTGCATTAAATTAATTTCCATCTGCTTTGTGCAGTCTCTGCACCCTATACCTCCAAAATCCATATATTCATGTAAAAATCTTGAAGCAATGCATCCACAGTGGATGCGCTGTCAACAGATTTCAAAAGGTTAGAAAATGCAAAAGAAAAAAACAACAATATAACAATAGATGTACACGTCTAACTATTATTACCTTCCTACATACTCTGCATTCCCTCCAACCAGATTCCTCTTGGTGGAATGATTCGCAAAAATCTGAATTCTCATAAGCAGATCTGAAACCGACATCAAGTAAGTAACAAGAGAAACATCAGGAAAAATGATGTTCTAGATTATTTTGCATAAGACAAAATATCGAGCTAAGAAAAGAAACTTCAATTCCTTTTCTTTGAGGTCGTCTTTGTTATATTTCTATTACTTCAGATAATTGTAAAACACCAAATTATGTCTTCCCAAGGGATAAAGCTAAAAAGACATAATAAATTGATTTCTGATCTCACTCCTTCACATACAGCTCATTACAACTTAGCCCCTATTTGATCGCTATTATTTTGAGAAAATGGAGTTTTGATAGGGGATTTTTTTTGGAGAATGTGTGGTTAAAAAATAAGGAAAAATTTTGAATTTACATGCAAAATATTTTATTGTGTAAATGTGTAGTTAAAAATAAGTATGTAAATTATAGAATGTTGGAATAATAGTTGTTAAACAGGGCCTTGGTCTTGCTTCTCCTAATTTATCTTCTATTAGTACTACCTCTACTTTTAGTGCATATCATGATTTCTTATTTTATTTAATTAGTATGACCATGAATACATGTTCACATTTCATTTCTTCTACATTGTTTATGAAATTTTGAAGGCCCAAGACTTAATACCATAAGCATAATTGGCTTAATAATTCTATAAATATTAACCTTTTCACTAGATAAGTATCTTCTCGTCACATAAATATGCTAGACACTTCATTCTACTTCAATTTTATGCATTACAATCTTTAAGTCCCTTTTGATAATCAACCCAAATATATATTTTTCTTAAAGATCTATCGAACCTACACATGTAAAATTACAGTTATGAGAAAATGCAATCTTAAGTTATGAAGTCACAATCATTCTTGTCCCTATTGTGACTAAGATATGCTAATGAATACCATCCCAGTTCTATTTAACATAGAATAATTAGATTCCATAATGCTCCTTCAAAGTTAATATTTTTCCTCACTATGGAGAATTAATTCTATCATTCGCCATAGACTTGTGTGGTACGTTAGCTTTGAATTTAACCAATTCGAGCTCAACACTTGAAAAATCAAGAAAACGGGGGGGGGGGGGGGGGGGGGGGGTTGGATTGGTTGGGAATATTCTTGATTTCTAGATAGAAGTATATAAAAGGAGGATCCTGTGAGAATATAGGATCATCCCATCTTGTTACCAAAACTGAATTTTTTTTCCCTAGGACAAAATATGTGGGTAAGCCATGACAAATTGAGCCAGTGAAAGAGATGAAAACTTATGGGTAGACGATCAGGAACAATGGCAAAACTCTCCAGAGTATTTTTTTTTTTTTT